GCCACTGATACCATCTCATGGCACAGTCAGCCTTGAATGCAGCCTCCCCCTAAGTACCTGCCTCCATGGTCTGTCCTGGGCTTCTCAGGCAGGAAATCAAAGATAGGAATTTCAGCCAAGTAAGGACTGGAATTTGGGCTGGAGCCCAAAACTGTGGCCCCTGTTGGTTTGTTGGAGCTGACCCTGGTGGAGGCAGGAGGTTCTGGTGCCCAGTCCCTGCTTGGCACTGCCTGGAAGTTATGGCTGGCAGGTATTAGCTGGGATTCTGGTCAGGCTTTCTGTCTGTGAGCTGAAAATATGCCTGGAAATATGCCTGCAAATGCCTGGCCAGTGGCCTCTCCTGCTGCTGGTCCACTGCCTGATGCCCGCATGCTGCACATGCCTTTGTGGGATTGAGTTTTCACAGAAGTTTTGCTGAAAGCATTGCTTCAAAGCTACTGTGAAGTGCTCTGCACGTGTATTTCTACATATGTATGTGCCTAAATACACCCATATGCACTTGTTTGGCCAGGCCCTGCTTTCCAAGAGCTGCATTTACTCTAAAGTTTGCCAGGTTTTTCAGATGCTGCATGTGTGCCACCTCTGACTTCAGGGGCAGGTGATGGGAGTTGGAGAGCCTCTGTGTTACTGTCATGTCTTGATCCAGAAACTGAACTCTCATTGCATTCATTTGGCTCATACTAATTGACCCGGATGGGAGCAGGTTGTGAAGGAACATGGATTAGCTCCTCACTTGCTGCCCTTGGGAGGTGTGGTAAAGGTTGGGATTTACTTGCCAGTAAATACAAGGGCTGGTTAGGTTTTAGATGGAGAAAAAACCCTCCTCCAGCTGGCTTTGGATCCTAGGATTTTTTGGGGGTCAATCTGTTTTCCAGTACATTACTATTAATGGTTTCAACATCAATTCTGCTTTCCCACCAGCATTTAGGATGGAGTTTCCAGATGGGTAATCTTAGCTGCCAGGTACTTGTCCCTTCTCCATGGCCACAGACTACCAAGTGAACCTTGCACTGGGCCTCACCATGGGTCCTGTGGCAAGTGGCCACCCCAATTTTTAAAACCCTTTAAAACTCTTTAAAGGAATGCTTTAAATGCATCCACCACATTTTACCTATTGCATTCAGGAAAGTGAAAAGGAGAGGCTTTTGTCAAGTTGTTAAGTCCTGGCTGATGTTACTGGCTCCTGGCCTCCAGGTCCCTCTGCTTATGTTCTCTTCCTGTTTCTCTGAAAGTTTTAAGTCAGGACAAGCTGCAGCTAGTCATGTTGGCAAAAACTAGTCCTTCTTGACCCTAGTTCCTCCTAGTCTTAGATTTAAGTGTTTGCTCTCTGCAGCCAAAATATTTGCATCCTCCTGAAAGCAGGAGAGTCAGATTCATTGGTCCCATGCAGGACAGGAAAACATGCTTTATTCCTCTGCTTTGTGGCAAGGCTGAAAAAAACAAAACAAAGTAGTGGGCAGCTGTGGTTTTAGCTGACAGCTGAAAGGGGCTTTGCTAGCAGAAGTCCCCAGGGAAGAGACCAAGGAGGTTGCTGACACAAGTCAGGAAGGGGCTCTCTCTACAGATTAAAAAGCAGAGGAATTATAAATAACATGCTGAAGATAGAGATAAAGTTACCCAAGTTATTTTGACCATAAATCTCAGGACAGCAGAGGCCCTTAATCTCTCATTAATCAACAAGAAACTGGAAGAGGCCATACAATGAGCTCAGCTGCCAAAGCTGCTGTGCCCTTTTGCTCCATTTAATTTAATTGTATTAGTCCTGCCCGCAGCCTTTGTTCTTCCACCCTGCTCAGGAAATCTGCTGCTGGGTTTGGCAGAGCTCACTCTGGTTCCACATGGCTGGTTTGTGGACAGCCAGGAGGGATTAGAGGGAGAGCAGGAAGGGGAAGAGGATGGGGAGAGGTCCCACAGGAGCAACCTGCTTGAAGTACTTCATTTATCTTAATGCTACTGCATCCCTTCCTCGTGAGGCTTCCTCCTGATAAGCCAAACACAAAACTGAAAAGGACTCTGGCTGATGTCAGCAGAGATGGGAGTTCATGCTTAAATTTTAAAACAAAAAAACAGAGACCACGAGCCAGCTCTTGTTCAGCAGGTGCTAGCAGCCCAGAAAAGCATTCCTACCACCACCTTCCTTGGTTTCACTTCATCTCTTAAATGAGCCAACAAAGAAATGCAAAAGGTGGTTTCCAGGACACAGGTGAGTTTTGTCAAATTTCAGCATTTGTCCCTGTTGAAGTATGAGATAGCAGAGCAGCTAACTGGAGGGTGTACCTTCCTTACCTTTCCATCAAGGAATGACAGTACTTAATGTGTGGAAAAAGATGGAGCACTTGCAGAAAGATGTGCTTAGGAAAAGTGATTTTCGGATGACTTTGCTTCAGGCTTGTGGGGGAAACACCATTTTGAACTCCATATTTTACTGTATTTCTCTGATTTCAGGAACCAGCCATATAAAATTCCACAGATTTGTTATATCAAGCCCAACTTTTCCCAAAAATATAAATTGTCAAGGCTCTCTCCCTTTCACAGCAGTGAATTAACTATGAAGTCCTATGCTTGCAGTAAAGTAAGCACAGGGCATTGTTTGCTTATAGTTTTACAGAGTTATCCTTCTGTCATTGCTTACTGTAATTCTTCTTGGATGTGAAGAGTAAAACATATTTACATTGGTATGTGGGATTATGGACAACCTCAGGAAAAAGTAGGGCTGGAAAGGAAGTTCTTCTGGCTGATGAAAAATTTTGAGATATGTTTTTTACATATCAGAATGAAAGCTTGAAATAGAGAAACTCCCAGGAAAAAAAAAAAAGTCAAGCAAAAAAAAAAAAAATCACCACAACCCCCACACACACATTTAGCCAGCTGCAACTACTTATTTCAGTTATTTTATCCTTTTTATTTCCTTAGTAAATTTACTTTATGTTGCAATGCAAAGTAGAAATTCTGTATGTCTTGGATAAAAATTTTTGTCCACAAATTTGATTTCAGTACTTTGGGAACTGCTTGGCATATATAATTTTAATTTAGAAAGTGGCACTCTGCTGCACTAAAAATGAAAAGTAATGATCCAGTAAATGACTAATTTTGTGGTCTGAGTTAATTAGTGAAGCAGTTTGCCAGATAGAAGGCAGCAGGTCTAAATTACTGTGTTAAGTCCATTTGCAGAAAGATAATATCTAGCTTTGTTGTTTTAATAATAATTAATGAGAATTAAAATGTTCAGCTGGGATTTTTGCTGTTACTATTAACGGGAATATGTGTATATATATATATATATATGTATATTTATATTTGTTCTCTGATGCTTTTCTTGCTTGTTTGCATCTCAATCCTTGACTGTCTTGTTCTGTGGCTTAAAGAAATTATTCAGACTGCACCTTTGCCTAGCATGGAGGAAACTTGAGGCTTCTACAATTGGTGCTGCTGGTTATTTCATGAAAAACATGTACCGTAGACTGGCAAGGAAATCAGCAGTAATAAACCAGGCAATAAGCAATGTCTCATCAGCAGGCTCACAGGGAGCATCAGCTGGGGGCTCACAGCTCACTTTTACATTTTATTTTTGGCAGCACAGGTTGTTGGGAAGGCAGGGATGGCACACTCATCTCCAAGTCTGCATGGATCTGCAAGACTTCAAAGCCTTCTCTGGTGAAATCTAGATATTACTTTGCTGAAGTCCAAAATGCTTAAATTTGGATGCCTCCAAGGCATCATGGTGCCCTACATGACACCAGCCTTTGGTGTCTGCTGGGCATTTCCACCCCAAACCTGCTTCCTGTGTTTGATTTTAATCACGTGTTTTGGGAAACCCTACAACTAACTGGGTTCTCATGATGGGGGAGAGTTTTAATGAGCTGGTTTAGTGGCTAATTGCTCTCACTGTTAAAAAAAGCTTCTCTCTTTGTTTTCAGCTTGACTTCCCTCAGTTTCAGTCTTCCAGGCCTGGACTTTGCCCTACTGCATTTGTTAAAATTAAAGCCCTTTGGAGTGTGGAATCTTCCCACATACCCTGAAAGACTAGGAAGAGTAATTTCCTAATCTTCTCTTTTAAGAGAACAGTGATAACTGGGGACTAATTACGGGCTCTATTGACTTTTTCATGTTTGTGGTTTTTAGATAAGTTGTAATTGTTCCTTTTTATCATTGTACAACTATAGTTAATAATTTATGTTCCCTGTGCCTAAACCTGAGGATGTGGCCCTACTTCTGGTAAAGATTCAATATCTGGGGGCTCTGAGAGATAGTTGAAATTGGTTTGGTATTTGATATTGGTTTTGTTTGGGGCACCTTTGGAGAAAAGTAAGTGCATCAGTCAAAATGCTATTGACCTTCCCAGAAGGTTTTGTAGTCCTGTTTTTATTTTTAATGCCTCCTTTTCAAATGGCATCATCTCTCTGGTGGGTTTAGTTCTACTTGTAGGCTGTATTCTACCATCCTGAATCATCTTGAATACTTTCCTTAAGTTAATTATTTCACTGAGAAATTTCAAGGAGTGAGATGATACTTAGACTAATGAAATTGGGGATTAGACAGGGATTAGATGGATTCTAAAAAGCAGATGCTGTGCTTTCTGTGGGAAGATTTATAAGCTTCATTAAAACAAGAAAAACTCTTTTCCCCTGACACTTGGAGATTTAAAAGCATTATATTATACCCTATTATTAATAAAATGATAAACTATATTGATAAAAATAGCCACCTTTTGCTGAAATTTCAAACTGTGGTCATATCCAAATCCTTCATGAAAGGATGTGAGTTCTTTTAATGCCTTATGTACTGTGACTTGAAGAAGAATTGTTCCTCATTCAAATGCCCAAGCCTTTGCAGGATGGAGGTAGAAATATCTTGTTTATGGTATTTATCTAGCTACCTCTATTTTTTCTGTTTGCAGTGTTTATGTTCCTACATATGTTGGGTTGGTGGGAAGTCTCATCAACACCTTGATAGCAATGGCTTGGATCCCTTCTCAGACTAAACCAAAGTCAGACCATCATGTGGCAGAGCACAGTGAGTATTTTGTGTTTCTGATAAATAGTACATAAAAAGGGACAAGGGATTGACATGCTGCAAGAACTGCTGAAGGATCTTGGAGTTGATTTAAGGGCAAAAAGGTCCCAGCCTTGAGATGCTGACACTTCAATGTCTAAGCTGAGTTTATGGAAGAGGATTATTCCAAATATATTGATCAGTCTGCCATGCAGAATTGCAGTCTTCCAGCCCAGACCTGTGTCTCAGGAAAGGTGATTGTGGAGCCCTTGCTGGGGGTTAGTTTGGTCTGACAGGGGAGGGAACCCCACTGTGTCAGAGGGTTCCTCTGCATGCAGACCTGGCACCAGCTCCCAACCTCCTGCCATCGGCACAAAGCTGCTGCAGCAGAGATGTGGGTTTTGGGTGGTTTTTGAACCTGAGCAGAATCTCAGAGTTCCCTGCTTTCTAGCCTTAACCTGTATAAACAGAGCATTAACCCATATATCATCCTCTGCAGGCACATCACAGTCTGGCAGCTTGTTTAGCATCAGAGAAATCCTGCGCCTGATGAAGTTTCCAGGGGTAATGGAAGTGTTCATAGTCAAGGTCTTTGCTGGACTTCCCTTAGGTAAATCTCACCCATTACCCATGATTGCTGATGTATTTGGAATAGGATGATGTACACTGTAGGCCAGGCTTGTCTCGAGCTACTGCAAGCACACTGCTTTTGATCACAGAGCAGTGAGGATTCACCTCCTAACTTGATGCTGGATCCTTTCAGGTAGTCTCAGCTACACAGGGTCAAAAGCCTGGGATTTAATGTCCTACACACCACTTGTCATAAGCTGCATCTGGGAGTTTTGGCAAATTACTTAATGTCTCCATCCCCCTCACTGCAAATGTTTTTTTCCTCTTGTCTATAATTTCTCTTTGGGCTGTAAGCTCTTCAGAGCAGAAGAAAATAGTTTGTCCTGTGGCAGGAAAACTGAGGTCCTTTCCAATTTTACTTAGGGATTTTAAGGTGTATGTGTATCCTAAGTTTTTTCCTAGCATTTAAAAATTGTTGATAGATGAGAGGGCTGAGCTGCACACAGGGGACCTACAGCATATTTCCTCCCTTGCACACTGATGGGGGTGCTTGTTCTTCTCTTCCTTATATATTCTGCTGGGGGGTGGTTTTGGTCATGGTAGGAACTTGCTGATCCCTCAAACCTTTGCCAAACCCATCTCTTTCCCTGCTCCCTCTGAGTCAGTTGCTGTCCTGCCAGGGTTCATATCTCCCCATTTGCCTGACTATGTATCCCTGGGCACAATTTAATAATCTTCAGTTTTGCCTACCCTCTAACTTCTTTCCCCACACACTTAACTAGAGACAAGCTGAATGTCATCCTCGTCAGTGATGTGTAAGGACAGGGTGATGTTCTCTGCCCTTCCACGTACAGCTTCACTGCTCTTTTCCCAGTCAAACCCAAAAAGTCCAGTTTCTCTTGATGATGATTTAAAGAACTGAGCTTTGTGCACATCATAACACATGTGTATCATGCATCCAAACAAACTAAGGCAGTTCCCTTCCAACAGGGATCCTAAAAGGGGACTTAAGGCACCCTAGCTTTTAGACTTTGCATCTTTTGCCAATTCATTTTTGTCTGGAGAAGCCCGTGAAGTTTAAAGAACGTGAAGCATGATTTACAAATTAAAGGCTAATTTGTAAACTGTAAATTCAGTTTACAAATGAAAGTAAATTTGACTGTCGAGTATAGCTGAATCAGAAGGGGATGGCATTCCTAAGCTTGGTCAGGCTCATCTGTTATTTCTTGCTAGATCTCTGGCGGGGAATGAGTCCAACTGGAGCTGGAAGTAAAGGATTTCTGGGTTTTTTTCCCCTGCTGTGTGTAGCTGGTACTGGCTGAGATCAGTAATGCCAGTTGGTCCTACCCCTGCCACTGGAGACAGGATACAGGATACAGTCGCACTGCTGGCTTGACCTAACAGTGCAATTTTTTTGATTCTTAAGACAATAAACCACCAAAACTGCAATCTAAAAAGTGTATCAAATTACAGCATTTCACAGAATGAGAAAGATGTTTTAAAAGGGTTTTCTTGGCTGATTCTGACTAATTTCTCATCTTAAAGCATTCATTTCTCTGTTAAAAATGTCTGAGACTGCATCTGTGTGAGCTTCCCACAGTAATTTCCTGTGTGTTCTCTTTTTTCCAAAGGCCAGGCAAAATGCACTTTGCTTTAGACATTCCTGCCGAAATGCAAATTCCTGCCTGTTACAGGATCCATTCTTCTTTCCCCATGCCAAGCAAAAATGCTCACTGAACCAAAATAAACATCTCCTGCCCAAAACTGCAAGGCAGTTTCTAGCAAAGAGGATGGAGACAGTGAAGCTGGGATTTAAGGCAGGCTAATATCTGTCACTGAATGCCTGGGAGTTTTTTTGTAAGGGTAGGAGAAGGTTCCCTTGTGGCATTCCTGCTGTAGCACTCACACTACTGTGAGGAGTGTGATTAAAATCCTAGAGACTTCTCTTTGCAGGGCTCTCTTCACTTCAGGTCACTGACCATCCTGATGGCAGCCGAAAGGGGATCTGGCCATCACTAATTCTCTGCAGCTCACAGCTGGAGGCTGATCTCCTCATGAGCTCATTTACCTTTCATCCGCAGGCTGCAACTCTATAATTAATTAGATTGCCCAAATTACAGACCGTTTTCTATTTACTTTGTAAACAAGTTTGTGATAAACAGCAAAGAAAATCTTTTGTTCCTTATGGATCTCATTGTTGTCTAAAATTAGCTCGTTTGAGACTGAAAGAACCTCCCCGGCAGGGCTGCAGGGCTGGGAACCTCCTCCCTGTGTTGCATAAAAGCAGAGATGTGGGCTCTGTGCCTTTTGCAGGAAAGGAGCTGCCAGGGATGGGACAAGCAGCAGACAGCTCCAGCACAGCCAAATTACCTTCTCAGCTGATCTGGGAAAAGAGAGCCTCACTGCATTGTGGTAGATAGGAGACAGAAAGAAAAACAAGAGGATAAAAATATCAGATGTAACTCTCATTGACAAGAGATCCTCAGGGCCTTGAAAATATTGATAAATAGCTGCTTATATGAATCTTTGGCTGCCTAACCCCTTCGGAAAATCTGGTTTCAGCATGATTGCTTTAGCACCTGCATCCCATTTTTAAAAGGATTTTCTTTCACATGTTGAGCAGCCTTTTGCAGTCAGCCTTAGGGCTCTGCATCCCATCACGCTTCCAGGCCAGTGTAGGAGGGCTGTGATGAGATCCCAGAGGCTGTGCTTGCCTTCTCACACCATCTTGCACTAGAGATTGTTAAACCAGCCCTCCAAAGCTATAGGGTGGTTTCAGACATATCACTTTTTTTTTTTTTTAATAGGGTTTGCACTCCTGATTTTCCTTGGTGGTTTTTGTCATTGTTACTGCATCTCACAAGCCATTTCCCTGCTTTCTGCTGCATAACCTTTGTTACTCATCCCACTGATGCCAGGTTTTTGAAGGAGTTCACCCTTTTCTTAGACATCCTCAAAAACGGCAAGTTTTCTGAGGATATTTTATGCCATTTTCTTATTTTCCCACATTGAGCCTGTCAGAGTGCACTGAGGCTTATCATTATTTATGTGGCTGCACTCAGCTGACCTGCAGCCTACCCAGCTGGTTACCTGCTGAGATCTTTCTAAGAAATGCTTGTTCCAATGAGGATAACATATTTTTTTAGTTCAATCTGAGGTTCACCTTGTGGTTTTCATCAAGAAATGTGTTACCAGTGGGAGAGACCACCTCAGTTTCTGAGAGAAGAGGGGCAAGGGGGTCTCCCTTTTCCAGGTAGCTTTAAGGGACCATGCAGGCAGAGTGGGTGACACCCATCTGAAAATGAGACTTTTGCATCTCCAGGGGAACCATTGCAATGTATGATTCTAATTAAAGAGCACAGCCTATTCCCCTGCTCTGAAAGAAAAGCAGCTTGTTTGGAGGAGAAAGATCCAAATCTGTCTTAACTTAATGAGGGACTTCAAAGGGGAGAGGAGCTGTAGAAGCTGGAGCACAGTACCAGGAAGAAGCATCAGATATGTAGGGAGGCCAAGCCCCTCCTAGGTGGTACCTGCAGTGGGGTGCAGGATGAAGGGAGAGCTCCTGCTTCCATCTAATCTTCCTACAAGTGAAACCAAGTGTGGTTTTTCTTTCATTTCATCACGTGTGCCTTTTACAAACATGTGCAACCCTGTTGCCTGATTTGGGTGTTGTGAGTAAATACTGGAATTTGCATGTTACCTTAAGCTGGCTTGAGCTGAGAGTGATTTCAGAATGACTGGATAACAACGGGGTGCTCACTGTGGAGGGGTGGGGCAAGGCCGTAGATCTTCATGAGCCCCAGCTCCCAGACACCTTCCCCACACAGCTGGAGAGTAGAATAGCAGGACAGCCTTCCTGCCCCCCATCCCTCTCTCCCAACCCCATAAGCCAGCTGGGGTGCAGCTACTCCTGTTAAGGGGGAGAACATGTCTCCATGGGGTTCAGGAAGGCTTTGTGGCAGGTCCTGGGATGGAGGGTGGTGCTCCCTCCAGGCAAAGGTGCCTGGAGGAAGATCCTTGTTGCTGCAGGTGCTGCCCCAGGGTAGGGCTGGGGTTGGGCTGCTGGATGCAGTGGAGTTGTTCTTGTTAGGAAGCAAGTCCTCCACGGTGTTTTAACCAGCAAGATGGAATCACCCACTTCATCCTTCCAGGAAAAGCTGGCAAATCCTCCCCATACCATGTCACTTTGCCAGGCCAACAGCTGTCTTTTCAATCCTCACGCATTGCCTCCTGCATTCTGGTTTTTTTCAGAAGGAGAGGAACACAACTCCCTTTTTACCGAGCCCTTACAACTCAGAGATCTGACAAGGAAAGGCAGGACTGCTAAAAATCATCTGGTCTCTTCTTTCCCAGAAGGATCAGTGATCTCTTGGCAGGCGTGTTGTGAGGGTCTTCACATGCAGAGAGCCCCAGTTTCCTACTGTCTTGGTCCATCTCAGGTGCACAAGACACGAGGGGAAGCAGCAGACTCATACCCCACACCACACTTGAAATGCAGTGTTTTGACATAGTATTTTTAATTTGATGGCTCTCTCTGCCATCAAATAAGGGAGCATGTGCAAGCACGCCTATATTTGTGTATGTTTGGCAGCGGGGAAAACACACACTATTGTATTTTCATTTGAAATTGAGTGGATGTTACACTTTCCAGAAATTGCTTCAATTGCAAAGCAGACCTGGTCTGTGCTCTTTCTGTCCTTACTTTCCTGACTGCTAGTGTTGACATCCCTGGAAGAGCACAGCAGAGATTTTTCACGTGCCCCAGACATCGTTGCTGAGGTGTTCAGTGAAACCACTGCATTTTGGCTGATGTCACTGGGCTCTTCCCCGCAGTGAATTATCTGAAGTCAGGCAAAAGGGGTGAGGAATCCAATCAGATTATTTTTATGGTTACAGTCTTGTCTGAACAAATGTTTTCTTGCTGTCTTAATGGTTAGCCTGGCTTCAGTGATACAAATATTTACCAGTTTATAATTAACAGCTGAAACTACAGCCTACATAGTCACATTATTTAAAGATGAAAGTAAGGGGGATAAAAAAGTTAACATTTAAAGATTAAATTACTACAATGACTTTGAACAGGATTGTGCTCATGTTTATACCCAGTGCTGGCAAACCCAGGGAGAGCTACTGACTTGGACTGGTGGTGACTGGGAGCAGGGTTTAGGCTATTACATGCACTGCAAGTGTATTGATGTACTCTTTGCATTAATCCTCCCTCCAGGTTTGTTCATGATTATGTTTTCTATCATCTCTATGGATTTCTTTGGGTTGGAAGCGGTGGAGTCTGGATATCTGATGTCATATTTTGGTGTCCTTCAAATGGTAAGTGAAGTGCAAGTCCCCCTCTTAGATTAGCTTGCCACACTGCTACCTGATTCACTCCCTTCTGGACACATGCTCTTCCAAATCCAGGTGCATTACTGACAGGCAAATACTAGCTCTGCCACATTGCATTTATCTTCAAAAAGAGAAGTGACTCCAAATTCATTCTGTTCCTTGGAATGGGAAGAAATTGGAGCAAGGAGTGTCCTGAAAGCTTTCTTCCCCTTGTCTCTCTCTGTGGATCTTTAAGCTGTAGAGCTAAAATTTCCTTGGACTGATATGTCCTGGGTTTTGTAACAAAACTTACATTGAAGCTAAAGTGCCTTGGCTGAGGTTTTTCTGGTGCAGGTTAGTTGATTTACGTTTCTATAGTAGCACCCTGTATACTCAGGAAAGCAGACAATCTTACTGGTGTTTTCACTGAAGATCCCTTCAGTGTAGAAGAACTTGTTTCTACTGCATGGAAACAAGCACAGGAAGCTTGTGATTCCCAAAAAAGAGAAAAAAAAACAAAACAAAACAAAGCACAGAAAAGTGGGTGACAGAACATGGTTAGGAGACTAGGAAAATGGGTAAAAGGGAAAAATCAGCGGAATTAGGCAGTAATAGGGTCAAAAATGTGCTGAGTTGTATTATAGCAGAGTGTTCCTTTCGGAGAAAGAGGCTTAATAATTTTGAAGAAAGAGCAGCAGATGGCTATAGCCAAGCCCCAAGACAGGAATGCAAGCTAGGCAATATCCTGAAGGAGAGTGGTCTTGTTATTAAATCCTCTTCATTTCCTGGGCACTGCCACACATTTCCTGTGGGAGCTTCTCATTTGGGGAATGGCAGCTTAAGCTGCTCCCTTTGTGATTTGGATTTGGCATGGTGTTGCCAGTCACTTGGGCTCTGGCCTGATCTCACCAAATCTGGGCACCTTGGTAGAGCAGCAGACAGGCATGGCTGTATGTCAGCAGCTGGATTCTGCAGTGTAAACTGGATGGAGCTGAGGAGATGGTGCCTTTGCCATGCCCCTCCTGTGAGGGCGGCTTTGCAGTAGCTGTCTCTGGGTCCTGTGAGCATCTCCAGCCTGCTGAATGCAGTCCCATTCAGCCTCTGTGGAAAGGAGACCAGTTAGCCAGTGCACAGTAGGGAAACAGCATGAAAAGTGGGGTGATCAGCAGCTGCTTTCCAAAGCAAGCTTCTGACCCACATTCCACTGCTTTCAGAGGCTTTCCCTATGTTAGCCTTGTATGCTGCCTCCTAGACCAGGATCTGCAGGAAGCACTCAGGTTTTGGAGAGGCCAAGTCACTGTCCCATATCTTCTTCCCCATTTGAATGCAGAAGGACTCCCCACAGCTGGACTTTTACCTTTAGACATACCAGTTAAGCCCCTGTTACACAGGCAGAAATGAAAGCTGGGGGTGCAGCATGGCTGTGGTGTGCTTGTTTAGAGCTGGGTAACGTGGGCAGCAGTAGCTCTTGTAAGGAGTGGCTTTGTGTGGCTAGATGGAGCCTGGACACTGCTGTTAGGTCCAGGATATCTGTCTTGAGGACACTGCTGTTATGTCTGGGATATCTGTCTGCCTTCAGTGCCATTGTTGCCCAGGTTAGTTTGGTTGAAACTGCTGTAGATAAGGTTACCTCCTCTGCATTGCTGGGCACCCCACACAGCAACACAGCCCTGGAAGATATGGGAATTACAGCATCCACTCTGCTTCCTCGTGGGTGATCCAGGGCTAACCAGGGACCTGACCCTTCCCAGAATCACAGAGTTTCATCCCACAGAGGCCAATCATTCCTATTGCCACAATGCAACCCAGCTGGGCCCTGCAGGCTCAGGTGCAGCATCTACTTTGCTGGGGAGTCTTTGCCTTGGGACATTTGACACAGAAACTGGCTTTTATCAGCCAGGCAGTTTTATTTCATACATCCATGCAGTTTCTATCCATGTTGCTAAACCTATTTATATTTATAACATATTGCTACAGTGGCAGTTCCAAACTCTACTCTGGTTTATGCAGGACAAGATCCTCAACTGGAGCAAACTGAATTCTCACTCTCTGGCTTTTAAAATTATTGTAAAACATTAGAATTCATGTCTTTACTTATATGTATCTGTCTAGAACCACCCAAAGGTATCTCTGGTAGATGGTGTCTGGATTAATGTTTTATGGCTGCTTTCTGTTTGGGCTGCTCTAGCAGGCAGGGAATAGAAGTGTTCTGGCTCTGTCCTGCTGAGCCCCAGAGCTGCTTGTGTTGCCTAAGCTGGCATTTCAGATGCATTTGTTTCTGCTGTACAGTGAATTGATGCTGCTGAGATACAAATGCAGATCAAGGTGCAAGTGAAATCCACCAATCTGGATAGGTGAACGATGATTAATATCTGCTGACTGGCTTCCCCACTTCACTGAGTAAATGATAGCTTTATTCATAAGGGATATAATGTAATTTTCAGTGAATTTCATCAATCAGATACACAGCTTTGATTTTTTTTTTTTTAAACTCTTTAGTTTGTCTGTCTGCAAATCATTGTGAGGATTTTCTCATCCTCTTGGACTTGCTCGGAGCCCTTCAGAGGAAATCTGTCCCCCATGTTTGCATCTCTTCCTGTTCTTGAAAAAGATAGTGTTTAAGGACTTTTATAGCTGGAAGGGAACATCAAAGAAATTAAGGGGGAAATTATTTCTTTGAGTTAATGTGGTTTCTATTTTTTAAATTAAATATTCTCAAAACTTACATATTCCTCTTACAAAAGGCAATGTTGCAGCTCCTTTTCCCAGCCTGATCAGCAATCCCAGGATGACTCAAATAGTGATGGTGTCTTCCTGCCTTCCTCTCCCACCCCAAGGATATTATGCTCCAATTGCTTAATCTAGTTTTTCAGCTTCCCAACCTCATTTGACCTGCTGTGGTGAGAAGTGGCCAATGCACTGTAAGAATCTGTTTCTCCTCATTCCTCTCATTCAAGCCATACTGCAGAGTACCTAGAGAAGGGATTTGGAGAGGCTTTGAGTCAGTCCACCTAATTTTAAGTAGGCAACTCATTTTGTCATTGCTATTGCAAACAGCTCTTTGTGTGGGGAATCGGACAAAACCACAGACCCTCTAGGAGGTGAGGTGTTTGCCCTCTTTGCAGATGGAGGATGTTAGTTTAGACACACCACCAGTTCAGCCATCACCTGAGGGATCCCATCCAAAGCTCCTCAGCCTCACCTCATCCTGTGGTGAGAGCATCATCTAACAGCATGGGAAAGTTTGGGCAGCTTGAAGTGCAGTGAGGCTGGGAAGGGGGCTTATGTCTGGGTCAGGAGACAGCCAGGCAAGATCAGAAAAGGGGATGTGGGAAGGCAGTGAGTCAGCTTTGAGACAAAGCAATGTCTGATGAGGAAACAGAGTTATGGCTTAGAAAATGGAATATGACCAAGGCTGGAATGGACTGATGGGGAAATAAAAGTAGCACATGGGCGTAATTCAAGCAATCCAGGTCTCTGCAGTGATTCTTGAAGAACCCTGAAAGTGTGGGCTATCTGACGAGCTGGGGCTGTGCCAGGTGAAGAGAAGTCATGTGGGAGATAACAAAATGAGGAGAGGAAGGCAGACAGCAGGAGAGCTGCCTCTGCACCAGGCAGCCTGCACTGCAGAGATTCCCTTGCTCATGATGTGCTTGAAGCATCTTTATCTGATCACTGGTAGGTCTCCAGGCAAGAGTTATGAGAGCCCATCAGGGACACAATCCCTCTGTCCTCCAGGGCTGGGCTTCCAGAGCCCTCTCATTTGAGAAACCCTGCAAATGAGATTTCCCTCATAGTGAATGCCTGGCAGTGTGAAATGCCATTCAATCTCCCTCCAGAGAATAATTAATGTCATAATGGTTTAAAATAATTTCACTGTGAGTAATAGGCAGAAATGAACCTAGACTCCTTTTTTTTTATTTTTTTTTTTTGGAGTTTGCAAGTGTGATAGCATGGAGACCTTCCAGGTGTAGTATGTGGCTTGGAAAATGCTGCTGGAGGATTAGGCAAGTGAAAGACCTGGAGTCCCCAGTTGGTATCTCAAGTCACATCTGATGCTTATATTTCAAACCACGGGAGGGAGTGGGGGAAACTTTTCTTTAAGAACTTTTTCTCAAAAAAAAAACCCAAAGCAAAATGCACCAAACAAAACTCTGGGTGGGACAAAGGGGGAGATATTTATAACCCTGAGGATCAAGAAATCATAAGACATCTGTTCTATTTACTGCATTTAAATTTGTATTGTTATACAAACTCCACCTCTAGCTGTGCAGCTTCTGGAGGGACAAGTTGGTACGGAGAGATCTTGAAAAGATGAGAGAGATTCCTGGAGGAGAGATTTACATTGCGTATCATCTTATCACCAGTCTGTCCCTCTCGCTTTTTTTTTTCTCCCTACACAGCAAAAGAGATGATTAAAGAGCCGGGGATTTAATTACAGCCAGGTATGCCTAGGGGGAAAACCCACTTAGTGAAAGGACCTTGCAACAACAAACAGAAAGTTCTCCACTTTCCTCGCTTTGAAGGATTTATATCTGTGGAGGGGGAAAGAAAGTGATTAGGCTGGAGTTTGCAAAACACACCATCCTCTTCCCCCTGCTTGGCAAAGTGCTGCCTTCAGCAGTTTGGTCCTCACCATCAGCCCTCCTTCCAGTCCCACCGCCCCGCTGCTCCTCCACAAGACCCGAACTACTCAAGCGATTTCTGGCCTCGCTGTGCCAGTAAAGCAGCTCCCTTTTGCCCCAGCATGGGCTTTGCTAAGTGATGTGTCTAAACAAAGTCCACGGGCCTTTTCAGCCTGTGCAGCAAAGGTCCGTGGGCTGTGCTGACCCCCGTGCTCTGCCCCAGCAGGTCCCTTCCAGCCGGGCTCGCCTGGGAACCGCCAGCCGGCACAATTTCAAAGGCGAGATACGGGTCCAGGGCGTGGGAGGCTGCTGCTGATGTGAATCATGCTATCTGTGCTAGGGATGGGGCCCTGCATCTTCTCTACGAGGCTGTACCAGCTTATCTGGCCTGCTGTGTCTGCCTTTCCCACCTTCTCACAGCCTCTCGTTTCCACGCTGTCGGCTGAAAGGGAACTGATTTTGTTGCTGGGCTCTGTCAAGCTTTCAATCGGTGCTGATGGAGGAATCTTTAGTACCAGCCCCACATCCTCTGAGCTCAGCTGAGCATCTGCATAACTCCTCTAACCTCCAGAGGTGGGGTCAGCTTCTTGCAGGTGCCAGTCAGATCAGCAGCGGCTCCGTGCAGCAAGGCTGGTGCTTCAAAAGTCTTCCAAAAACTAGTGCCTGGGACTTTCAAATACAGTCTTTTCCATCCTGCAAGGGGCTCCTGAAATTTGTTAGAGGTTAGCAGTCAAATGGGTAATTGGCCTTTCTGAGCAAATGGAAGCAGCTGTTTTCCCAGAAACCAAATGCAGTGATAGAGACTAGAGAGTATTTTTCCATGTGATTTGCTGGACTAGTGTAACAAATCCCCAGCTTGCTGAATGCAGAAAATGATGAACAGATATTTGGCTGTTCCTATGCATTTATTGGGAGACTTATTTGCCTTTAAAGAAGGAGAGGGGGGCGGAAAAAAGATGAGTTGGTTTTTCCTGTGACTTATGTACACAGCCACAGGCAGTGCCTGTTATTTCACTTGCAAACAATTTCCTCTCTCTTTTGTATATTGATGGCAGAAGGCATTCCAGCCAGGTACACTGGCTCTTCCCCGACTTCAAAGGAGGTCAGGTTACAAAGGCAAGCACCATCCAGGAAAAATGAAATGCAGGAGGGTAAGACCCATCAAAGTTGATCTCGAGAGGAGTTTATGTGCAAGGAAAAGCCCAGAACACACCAGCAAGGATAAAAATAAGGATAAATTCCATTTATCAGCTACTAGAGTTCATCCATGGGAGTGGTGATGGCCAAGTCACCTGGGATGTCCCCACTACCTTCTGCTAAACCAGCAGCACGTGTCCAAAATTTTACATGGGAGAGTGCACATGAACCACCTTTCACATTCCCAGGGTGCTGCTCATGCCAGCCCAGGAGCTCTGCGCTCAGGGAAAATTGCAGACTGGAAGTTATGGGTTTTCAGGTCTAAATTCAGACTGGAAAATGAGGTCAGACTTACTGGTGACTGGAAATATTATCTAGTATTATCTAGCACCTAAATCAAGGCTCTGTGTCCAAAATCAGGATGATGGGCCTTGCCTGCCTGGGACTCATGGCTGGATCAGCAGTGCCCGTGCTGGGGAGGAAGGCAGGCAGCCCAGATAGCCCGTGGGGGGACTGCCATCTGTACAACCTAAGGATTGCTGCCCAGCCCAAAGGGGAAAGCAGGTGACTTGGGCTCATTCTTGCACTTGGAAATAGTCCCCTTGCCAAGCTGGTTCATTCAGCAGTGATGTTTCACCTTGAGCTTTTTATTGCCACAGTCCAAGTGGTGGGAAAGCCCATGGGGAATGCCAGCATTGGCACAAGGACCATGTCTCTGCTCTGCTGACTCTGAGCACAACTCATTCTGCACATCTCCAGGTCCTGCCTGCTCAGAGCCTGTCTCTGCTGCAGTGGTTCTTGTTGCCTTCACACAGGGGCTCGTGTGCAGTGATGGCAAAGATTTTGGGAATGCCACTCCCATGGCCATCAGACCAGGGATGTTGCTGATGCTGTACCCTAATGACTCAAGGTAGGGCAGGGACTGGGCTGTGTCTGCATGGTGTATCCCAATAAAATATGCCATTCAAGTCTGGGCAAATTGGGAAACGTTTCCTTTCCTCCAATGGCTCAGCAGAGCCAAACTGGGGTTCAGGTGATGCCACCCTTGAGTCAATCCATGCCCTGTGACAAGGCTCAGCCCCCATCCCATGTGACTCAGCACAGCTCCAGCTGTAGGAGGGACTGGGAAGTTGCAAAAAGTTAATGACGATTCTCCCTTTTTGGAGCACTCAGCTTAATGGAGCGTCACTCAGTGATTTCCCCACCCATCCCCGGAGTAGGAGCTGCTGGGGCTGCTATCAGCCTCCTCTCATGGCAGGGCTTTTGGCCAGGATGACTCAGGTCACCCTAGATACTGTCCAAGCCTCGTGCCACAGCAGGTCCACCAATGTCCTGGAGGCTGCTTGGCAGGTGACATGACCCAGGAAGGACACGCAGAGCCTGTGCCAGTGGCTGGCACGTGGCAGCTGGGCGCACATGAGCCAAGCTCTCAAGACCTGGACAAAGGCTCGGGCAATGACAAAAAAGGTGGCAGGAGCCAGAATGTCTTCTTGGTGTGATGTGCCCTCATGTCAAAAATCCTTTGTGCTCTGAAGCAAAGTGAAGGGTTGAATTTTGATGGTTTTCCATTCAGTTGTATGCTGTTGGAAATCTTTTTTTTTTTTTTTTTTTGTTCTTTATGTCAACTTCATTTTCACTCTAGTGCTATTTACTTTTTTTTTTTTTTTTT